TTTGTTTTTCCCCTATTGATAAATTCCCTAGCTATTTGTTGTTGGTGTTGATCTTGGTTCTTATACAAAGCTATAGAATGCTATATTTTGGTATTGATGATGTTCAGGGACGAAGCCCTCCTTAGTAGAGCAGCAGATTAATTACAGAGATTAAAGATAACTGAATAGTAGAATGTTACCCATAAATCTAGAAAGAAATAATGCAGCTGCCGTATTTGCACAAACCAGTTTTGAGCATACTAATAAACATGTTTACACTCAGATTGAATCTTTACACCCTATGGTTAAGGGTGCTACTGCCTTATATGATGAGGGTGTTCTTAGCCTCAGTTTTTGTTAATGTGGTTGTTTTATTTTCAAAATGATGTTATGTAAAGATGAATGCCTCCTGGGGAGGTTTTAGTTTGACCCCCTTCCCACTTAATAATTTAATATTAAAATTGACCAGTCACTATGGATTGACTTCAGTTACATTCAATTTTTTCACATGTTTTTTCAATAAAAAAAACTTTAGTGTGCTCAAATCGATAACCAATAGGCGTATAATACATATGTAGAACAAAGAGTGCAAGAGAAATATTGGGATTTAAATGAAATAACCAACACATGCATGAAATGGTGGGAAAGCATTTTTTTAGACAACTCGCTATACATTACTATGGTGGGAAAGCATATAATGAGGTAAACATTTGTTTCTTAATTATTACCAAAGTGTGATTTCAAATTTTAAATATAATAATTCAAAATCATATTTTACTACTAGCTCTTGTAGGTCTTCCAAGACCTCAACAATACCAAAAAAACACGAGATTGGCAGAGATTTTGACAGGGATTTTGGCAGGGATTATGCCAAATCCGTGCCAAAAAACTTTGGCACGAGCTATTTGGCATGACAAATCGGTAATCCGTGCCAAATTTCTGTGTCAATTCCGTGTTTTTTGTAGTGGATATCAAAATTAGAGCTTCATATCAAATTAGAACCCTTATTTTTTATTTCATATTGATTGTGTGTATTATCGATGCATTAATATTCATTTGCAAACTTAAGCGGAGTGGTACCATTTCGGATGGTCTTTTTTCGTTTTCATTAGAACTGACATTCTTATATAGATTTGGACTACTACATAACTTGAATGCTTCTTAGGTAACCTATTAAACTCTTCAATATAAAAAGAGAGATCTATCATTTGGTCACTTTTAAGTCTCCATTGCAACCATTTCTTGTTGTTCTCCACTTTATTATTTGGAGAATAACAAATATCATATATGCATTTATATGGAAATTAACTATCCTAACCAAAATGCCATATTCTTATTGGGCATTATCCAAATCGCGCAACGCGCGATGTGAAACTAGTTTATATAATAATACCAAATAAACATTCTGTAATCTGTAGTACGTCATTAATTTTCTTATCGAATGAAGATGTTAGCAATTAGTATTATCTTATAATTTTATATTATTTTAAGAGAATCACAATAGTTATTCTATACATTATACTTTCACTATCCCCCATACATTTAATATATTTAATTTTATAAAAGTTACTTTTAGGGATTCTACAATAATAATTCGCACATAGAGTGTTCATATAAATAATCCGAACTAGTAGTTGTGTTCACAAGAGTAAATTGAGATGAATTAAAATTAATGTCCGCTTGATATTGTCCACCCCTACTTCCACTTTTATCTCTTCTGCGCTCTTCTTCTTGGAGTAATTTCAAACTAAAACCCGTTAATCTCAATGTCATTTCCGCCATATGTGGTTCTCTCTAGGTTGGAAGACAGAAGTGTTACCCAAGATGAATTGAAGAGTGATAAAGTGGATGTTGAGAGTATTAAACTGGTATTAGTTTGAATTCACCTCAATTTATTCTTGTGAACACTAATGCTAGTTCATATTATTTTTCTGAACAAACTTGGTAGGGGTTATTATTGTAAAATCCATAAAAACATGGATTATTCTAATTATGTTTAGGTCAATATGTCCTCACGCTGTAATTATTTATAATTGGAGCTCCTTCATCCAATATAGTATGTGTTATAACGACTAAAAAGATGAGTATAGGTAAAAAAAAAATGTGAAGTTAAAATTTATCTTCAAAAACAAAGAATAAGCATTAACTACACTATTCTATGAAAAATGCCACAATAACATAATTATTCAAGAAGACGTGAAAATTTATCCTTTTCATTTCCATCTACGTATATACATGGATAATGCGATATTTTTATATTTATTAATAATATATTCCGAACTATTACTCAATCGAGGATCCACACAAAAGTGTTATAAGACAACACACACTTTTAATGTCTTCATTCTTATAACAACAAAAATGTTGAAATATATTGAATAGTCATCTTCCAACTATTCATGATCAGGAACAATTATCATCATTGTTAATATGAATAAGAAATCATAATTATGATTTCTAGATGGTAATTGCATGGCTCACAATTAGCCCCTGATCTAGACATGATTACATTCTCTCCTATAAATAGGAGCATTCTCCTTCATTGTAAAAATATCATTATCACACTTCTAATAACATCTTTCTCACTAAGTATTCAGACTATACTTTCTCTCCCTGATCTTCTGCTTATTTCCTTCCATTTTATAACACGTTATCAGCACGAATTTGCTCCAAATCCTTGAAATCATCATCTTCCCACCAGGTATACATTTTCACGAATTTATCAATTTATCTGAAGAAAAAAAAATCAGAGGTTTGAGAAGTATAAACACATTTATACATATTCAAAAGTCAAAACTATAGAAAGTATGCTCTGTGGTTGCCAATGATTTGGATCCTCCACATCAGAAACTTATAGTTGATTTTTCCATAAAAGAAAAATAATCAGATGGGAGAAAGAGATATATTTTTCTCTTGATATTTTTCTCCAAATAGTGACATACGAAGTATTATATACTACGAAGCAAAAGGGAAGATGAAATAGAGTCGAAATGATGAAGTAAAAGAAAAAAGTCAACGGTACCTGAGTTTAACATGCTCGCTTCTTCATGATACCTTTCTGGAACTAGTAAATCAGATTGAACATGCATATCAATATTGTGCAGTATCTATATCTATATATATACACTGATAGATTAAAATAAAAGGAAGAATTAATTCTTCGAAAGTTAGTAGATAACCGAACGAAACAGAAAGGAAGATGGCTTGTAAAGTGAAGAATGAAAAATACGGAGTAATGCTTTATGCTCCAAATAGTTACTCCGTATTATACTATACGTAGGACTTCATATACTCAAAAGTCACGGGTCTGCAATAGTACAATACTTCATATTAGACATTATAGTTTTTGTTCTCATGTGTAGTACAATGCATAACGTATGACACATCACATGGGCATTAACTTACATGGTCATATACATATATACGGAGTACAATTCTAAAATTTGAACATATATCTGTATGTTTAACAGTGTATCCTAATACTTCACTTGCACTAGCTAGTAAAATCAATTCTAAAATGCAAGTGAACTCTCGTGGTTCAATTCGGTGTTTGTGAATACATGAAGAGTATATTACTTACATCTGAAACCTTGAATTGATTATATATAAGCTTGAAATTTTTTAATTACTCTCTACAGAGTATATAGTATCCGTATACGGCATCTATATAATATAAGAAAATGTGGAAAAAGTCCTGATGATGAAGAATAGCTTAACATTTTAAAGGGCATTAAAAGACTATGCTTTAATGATATGGGTTGTACATGTCACGAACATTATTGCATATATATGTACCATATTAAATACAGAGTACTTTTAATGAATATAGCTCAAAGACAAAATTCTGCCAAACTCACATGGTTAACAAAATATAATTTATTAGTCACATGGTCAATATATACTCCGTAATACACATGAATCATTCATACATTCACATCATGTGTAACCAACCATTCTCCAGTATTACATTTACTACATGGTGTCATTTGATTATTGGTAAGTAATTCATAACAAATATGAATAATAATGAGTTTGATATTATCGATTCCTAATTTCCTAATTATTTATGCATGTATCAAATATATATATATATATATATATATATATATATATATATATATATATATATATATATATATATATATATATATATATATATATATATATGCTCCGTATAAGGTTAATTAAAAAAAATGCCAAGTTTATTTCCAAAACCAAATTGACGGACTAGAAGCAATTGATGATTTCTTTGATTATAATTATACGATAGTATATATTACCTTATATATTTTCCTGATTAAATCAATACTTTTTGTAGTATTATGGCACATATTAGCAAAAGAGAGTTTGACGTCCTTGATTTATCTGGCCAAAAGTATTTGGAATGGAAAGTCGACGCTTTGGCACATTTGAAAGCAAATGCCCTTGAAAATACAATTGCTGAAAATAATTCAGCCACTCCCCAAAATAAGGCAAAAGCCATCATCTTTCTTCGTCATCATCTTCATGAAAGTTTGAAATCTGAGTATTTATTGGTAGATGACCCTAAAGAATTATGGGATAATCTCCAAGAAAGGTATGGCCATCAACAAAAGGTCCTTTTACCAAAAGCTCAATATGACTGGATCAATTTACGATTCCAGGATTACAAATCTGTAAGTGACTACAATTCTGCTTTGTTCCAAATAACATCAAAACTAAAGTTATGCGGACAAAAAGTCACTGATGCTGAAATGTTGGAGAAAACTTTGTCCACTATGCATGTTTCAAATGTGCTTTTACAAGAGCAATATAGACAAAAGCATTTTCAAAAGTATTCTGATTTGATATCAGTATTACTATTTGCTGAGACGAATACCGACATTTTGATGAGAAACCACAATATGAGACCCACGGGTTGTAGCCCGCTTAGTTTTGGTCCACCAAATCATGGTTCAAAACATGAATCAAATGCAACCCATAGTGGTGCTCGTGGACATTTCAAACGTGGTCGTGGTATTGGTCATTATAATGGACCTAGCCGGGGAAACAAACAGAGTAGTAGCTCATTTTACAAAGGCAAGGGTAAGCAAAACCGCCATCAAACAAAGAGCCCGACGAAATCTTCAGAAAAGGCCAAAGTCACTTGCTTTAAGTGTGGCACGTCGGGACATTGGGCAAATAAGTGTCGTACACCTAGACACTTGATTGATTTATATAAATCATCTCTAAAAGGAAAGAATGTGGAAACTAATTACGTCAACGAAAATGATCCACCAATGCCCACATTCAATGTGTCTGATTTCTATATGGACGATAATGAGATGAACACCGACATCATTATGGGTGAAAAATAATAAATAAGTAAATAAAAATGAATTTGAAATAATTCTGTTATGTAATACGGAGTATATTCTACAATAAAAGTTTGTTTGTATTGTAATTTTTATTTGGTGTGCTTATTTCGATTGTAAATGTTATGTACATTTTAATAAAGCCTTGTTTATATTACAGTATTGAACTAATATTTGTTCATTTTTATCTTTTCGAAGATATGGAGTTAACTAAAATTTCTCCAAGTGGCTCTGAACAATGTCTAATAGACAGTGCCACAACGCACACCATTTTGAGACATAGAGATTATTTTTCTCATATGACATTAGTTGATGCGAATGTCAATACAATCTCAGGTGTTGCTAAACTCATTGAAGGTTCTGGAATAGCCTGTGTGATTCTCCCGAAAGGGACAAAATTAATAATTAAAGATGCTTTATACTCCAGTAAATCACGGAGAAATCTTTTGAGCTTTAAAGATTTGCGTCTAAATGGTTTTCATATTGAAACCATGTCTGAAAATTAGAAGGAATATTTATGTCTAACGACAAATAGATCTGGCAATAAATACATTTCTGAAAAAATGCCAGCATATTCCTCGGGACTGTATTATACATATATCAGTCCAATTGAGATAAATGTGGTATCTAAAATTTATGACCACAATTCCTTTATCTTGTGGCATGATCGTTTAGGTCATCCAGGCAGCACTATGATGCACAAAATTATTGAAAATTCACGTGGACATTCATTAACTAATGTCAAGATTCCACAATCAAGTGATTTTCCGTGCACTGCCTGTTCTCTTGGCAAATTAATTATCAGGCCATCTTTATACAAAATTGGAGTTGAATCTCCTGCATTTTTAGAAAGAGTTCAAGGAGATATTTGTGGACCAATTACCCCTCCGTGTGGACCGTTTCGATATTTTATGGTGCTCATTGATGCATCAACACGTTGGTCACATGTCAGTCTTTTATCGACTAGAAATTTTGCATTTGCAAATCCCCTTGCTCAAATTATTCGTTTGAGATCACAATTTCCGGATTATTCGATAAAGAAAATCCGACTTGATAATGCAGGAGAATTTACATCCCAATCTTTTAATGACTATTGCATGTCAATTGGGATTGATGTGGAACATCCAGTTCCACATGTACATACACAAAATGGTCTTGCCGAATCCTTAATTAAGCGATTACAATTAATTGCTAGACCATTATTGATGAAATCCAGATTACCATCATCTGCATGGGGATATGCTATAATGCATGCTGCAAATTTAATTCGGCTTAGGCCAACGGCATATCATAAATTTTCCCCATTACAATTAATATCTGGTAAAGAACCAAATATATCACACCTAAAAATATTTGGTTGTTCTGTGTATGTACCAATTGCTCCACCTTATCGTACTAAAATGGGTCCTCAAAGAAGGCTGGGAATTTATGTTGGTTTTAAATCACCCTCAATTATTAATTATCTAGAACCTATGACCGGTGACTTATTCACCGCGCGGTTCGATGACTGTCATTTTGATGAGACAGTATTCCCAGCCTTAGGGGGAGATATTAAAGAAATGGACCCACGTACGAAAGATATTACTTGGAATGCAACAAATTTATCTTTTCTTGATTCTCGCACAAATGCTTGTGAACAAGAAATTCAAAAGATTATTCATTTACAAAATGTTGCAAACCAATTGCCTGATGCTTTCACAGACTCAAAGAAAGTGACAAAGTCACATGTTCCAGCTATAAATGCTCCTTCTCGAATAGAAATTCCTGCGGAGATTAGCGAAAGAACACTTGCTAATGAATCTATGATACGTAAAAAACGTGGTAGACCACTTGGTTCAAGAGATTTGAAACCAAGAAAATTTAAACAGCAAGTTGTAGTTTGTGATGCCAAAGAAGTTCAACCTTCTCAAGAAGAAAATGAACATTTTGAAAATATCGGCCTTGAAGATAACATCAATAATAATGATACCTCAAAAGAGGATCCAATCACCTTCGAAGAGGTAAATATTCCAGATAAAGATAGAAACGTCGATAATTTTGAAATTTCAATTAATTACGTTTCTAATGGAATACAATGGAATAGAAATGATATTGATGTTAATGATATATTTTCATATGCCATCGCCACAGATATAATGAATGAACACGATGACAATGAGCCTAAATCTATTGACTAATGTCGTCGTAGAAATGATTGGCCAAAATGGAATGAAGCAATTCAGGTAGAATTAAAATCGCTAGAAAAGCGTAATGTTTTTGGACCAATTGTCCATACGCCAAAAGGCGTAAAACCTGTCGGTTTTAAATGGGTTTTTGTGCGTAAACGCAACGAGAAAAATGAAATCGTTAGATACAAAGCCCGACTTGTTGCCCAAGGTTTTTCTCAAATGCCAGGAATCGATTATGATGAGACGTATTCTCCAGTAGTTGATGCTACAACTTTAAGATTTTTAATTGGCATGTCTGTTTTTGAAAGGCTGCAAATGCGCCTAATGGATGTGGTGACCGCATATTTATACGGTTCACTCGATACAGACATATATATGAGAATTCCTGAAGGCTTTAAAATACCTGATGCTTATAGCTCGAAATCTCGAGATTTATTTTCCATAAAATTGCAAAAGTCATTATATGGATTAAAACAATCTGGACGCATGTGGTATAACCGTCTCAGTGAATATTTGATTAAAGAAGGGTATAAAAATGATCCTATTAGTCCATGTGTTTTCATTCAGCGATCCGAATCAGGATTCGCCATAATTGCAGTATATGTTGATGATTTGAATATAATCGGAACTCCTAATGAAATTGAAAATACTGCAAAATATCTCATGAAAGAATTTGAAATGAAAGACCTTGGGAGAACAAAATTTTGTCTCGGCATTCAAATTGAGCATTTGAGAAATGGTATTTTCATCCACCAATCAAATTATACCGAGAAACTTTTGAAGCGATTTTACATGGATAAAGCACATCCACTCAATTCTCCAATGGTGGTTCGATCTCTCAATGTGCATGATGATCCTTTCCGACCTTGTGAAGATGATGAAGAAATCCTTGGTCCCGAAATACCATATTTGAGTGCTATTGGAGCATTAATGTATTTGGCTAATAATACTCGACCAGATATTGCTTTTTCTGTAAATTTATTAGCCAGGTACAATTCTTCCCCAACAAGAAGGCATTGGAATGGTGTCAAACATATATTCCGATATCTCAATGGTACAATCGATCTTGGATTGTATTTCAAGAATGGTGCAAATGCCACTTTAATTGGCTACGCGGATGCAAGATACTTGTTTGATCCACAAAAGGCAAAATCACAAACAGGATATTTATTCACCTATGGTGATACCGCTATATCATGGAGATCAATGAAGCAAACATTAACTGCAACATCATCAAATCATGCAGAATTAATTGCTCTTTATGAAGCAGGTCGTGAGTGTGTCTGGTTGAGATCAATGATCCAGCACATACAAAATGAATGCGGTATAAAATCTTTTACTTCTAATCCTACTGTGATTTATGAAGATAATACAGCATGTATAGCTCAGATCAAAGGAGGTTACATCAAAGGGGACAGAACGAAGCATATAGCACCAAAAATTTTCTCCACACATGATCTTGAGAAAGACGGAACGGTTGATGTCAAACAAATCAAGTCATGCGACAACCCTGCTGATTTGTTCACAAAGTCATTGGCACCGAAGAAATTTGAAGAACTGGTCCATAAAATTGGAATGTATCGTCTTCGAGATATATGTTAAATTGAGGGGGAGTAATATAATGCACTGCACTCTTTTTCCCTTCGTCAGGTTTTTATCCCACTGGGGTTTTCTTGACAAAAGTTTTTAACGAGACAGTACATTATAATACTATGAAACTAATACCCCAGAATAATTAGAAGATGACCATTCAAGGGGGAGTGTTGAAATATATTGAATAGTCATCTTCCAACTATTCATGATCAGGAACAATTATCATCATTGTTAATATGAATAAGAAATCATAATTATGATTTCTAGATGGTAATTGTATGGCTCACAATTAGCCCCTGATCTAGACATGATTACATTTTCTCCTATAAATAGGAGCATTCTCCTTCATTGTAAAAATACCATTATCACACTTCTAATAACATCTTTCTCACTAAGTATTCAGACTATACTTTCTCTCCCTGATCTTCTGCTTATTTCCTTCCATTTTATAACAAAAAATACATTGTTTCAAAGATTGTTGTTGATTTAACATTTGTATGGATTTAGTACCCATTTTTTAAAACTTAATCACTTATAAAAATGATATATTTAATTGAATGCATTCCTTTAATTTTTTGTTTTGTAACTTATTATTAATAATTATAATCAATTATTGTATGGTATATAATGAATGTAGGCGGATTATTCATGCTTGAATATAACGTAGCATTCTATATTTTTTTAAATAAATTATAAAACAGTTAACATTTATAACATTTTTTCACTAACATTATTTTGTTACACCCCTTACTTAATGAACTCTTCATTCTATGTTTCTAATATTTTTTATGATTATTTTATTTATATTTATCGTTTTTTATTATATCTTTTTCTACTGTTTTATTTATAGATTAATTTAATTATATTAGGTTGTTGCCAAATATTGAGTTATCAGATACTTGATTATTTACAAAAAGATGCTTGATTTAGATAGTAACTTTTGACTTCTCTTAACTCCAAATGTAGTAGTTAAATAGTTCATTAAAATAATAAATTTTCACTTGTGTTGGATGTAAATAAATTTTTATTTGAGTTTCCACCATATCCCTTTATATGTGTGTGTAAAGACTTGTATATAATTCTTGATTCTTACGGAGTACTATCTCCGTCCCACTAAGATTGGGACGAGAAAAGGTGACACGATTATTAAGAAAAGTGATTTGTGTGGTTGATATTAAATTGATAAAGTAAGAATAAAGTAAGAATAATTTAGAGTCACACAATCTTTACCAAATTTGGTATGAGACAATATTAGTGGAACTTCCCGAAAAGGTAAAATAGGATAATCTTAGCGGAACGGAGGGAGTATTAGTTATTGAGTTGGTAGATGCTTCATTGAGATGAGATAGTAAATTTTTACTTCTTTTGACTTTGAATTGATTTATATATATTTTTCACCGTATTCTATTTAGATATATACAATAACGATGAGGTAAGGGATGAGGTTGCATGATTTTTCTCTCTCATCAAATCTCGAGGTTTAGACTTAGGGGGTGTTTGGAACTGATTCTGCTTCTGCTTCTTTTTTAAAGCAGAAGCAGAATCAGTTTTCAGAAGCTGGTACCCCCCAGCTTCTAAAAAAACTGATTCCGGGAGTAAATTAGAGCACCAGAAGTGCTTCTGGAATTTTACCCAAACAGTCCAGCTTCTCCTTCTGCTCCCTGAAGGAGCAGAATCAGTTTTGAGAATCAGATCCAAACACCCCCTATTCGTCTCAACAAGCTACACTTTATTGTAAAATGGGAACAAACTACAATATTTAGGTGACAACCTTTACCCATCTAGATGGGAAATATATGTGTTTATAAATTATTTTTTTAATCATTAAAAGGGTAAAAGAGTCAAATGAATTTTTCTATCATTTCTTATCCATCACTCAAGTATCAGTTAAAAAGTATCAGATGAGTATCTTTAATTTAATTTAAGAACATAGTCAATCAAGCCATTTTATCCTACTATAATAGGATATTTTAAAAAAGTAATTAATAAAATTGATAAATCTTATAAAGAATCATATAAATTTGAAAAAAAATTTAGTAATAATATAAAAACAAATTCAATAATAGATATTTTTTTAAAAATGTTGAAAAAATTAAAAAGAAAATATGAAAAAGGAAAAAGTAAAGTGAAATTGAAAGATGTAGAATATACAAATAGCTCCAAGAATACAAAACAATAGACTTCGGCATTCTATTTTTTTTTTGAATTGTAATAAATTCTTAATAAAATAAATTAAAAACCTTGCTATCACAGGCCAAAATCAGGTTAAAAATTTATTCAACTTTCAAAATAAACATACATTCTCCGTATATGATATTTGATTGAGTATAGGCTAAAGGGTCAAATAGGTACATGAACTAACTTAAAGTGTTCAATTAGCCCCTTATATAGGAGGTTCTGCCCGGCCGTCGCCAATTGGGGCGGTTCCCGGTGGAATTTTTTGATGAAATTTTTTGAGCATCTTCTTCATTAAGTCTAGTTTATCCATACCAAATTTCAGCTAAAAACTCAACCGCGAAGGCAGTCAAATGATTTTTTGAAGATAACTGCGCAGTTAAACAACACAGAACATTTTGGAAAATCATTTACTGCCTTCCCGATTTAATTTTTAGCTGAAATTTGATATGGGTAAACTAGACTTAATGAAGAAGATGCTCAAAAAATTTCATCAAAAAATTCAACCGGGAACCGTTCCAATTGGTGACGGCCGGGCAGAACCTCCTATATAAGGGGCTAATTGAACACTTTAAGTTAGTTCATGTACCTATTTGACGCTTTAACCTTGAGTATATGATCCTAAGTGATAAATTGAAAATATTAGATTCATCTATTTGGTTATTTTTCTAAAAACTAAAATAATTTTTTTGGGCGGATCGGATGGTTCAAACGGATTGAACCGGATGGACCAAACGGGCTGAACCGGCTTTGTGGAGGTCTACCAGCGGTAAAATATATCCTACAACCGGCTGTACCTAGAGCATGGTACAGCCGGGTATTTTTGTAATATATTGGAATTTTAAGGCTTTTAACTGATACTCGGATATATATGAATCGCAGGGAAAATTGGGATCGATGTTATCACGCTGGGTGCACCAGCACCGACTTCAGCTGCCATGGAGACAGACGATTAGTTCGCTCAACTCCGACTTTCCCGTTCTCCAAGACAAGGGTTGAAGATTTCTTTTTTATGCCGCTACAAATTTGTATTATCCGTAGAAGAACAAATAACCCCAAGGAATCAGGATGTCCTCGTTGAAGTCAAAATCATTACATAACCTATTGACATCCTCTGCAATATCCTCGTTGAAGATAACCAAGCAAAACTTTCACCAAGTGCTACTCCTGGACCCTCATCCACGTCTTTAGATTTATACACAAATTGAGATTGGGATGATTTTGTCTTTATATTGAGATCTTAATATTAAATTATACTCTATATGAGCATACACGAATTAATATTTGAACATTCCAGCAATCTTAAATGAGCTCGATAAAAAAAATTTAAATGGGTGTTATGAATTCTTCAATGTTCATTTCATAAGTTATGTATGCTCATTTAGATTTGTGTAATCCTGATTTCAAAATGTGATATCCATGCGTATTGGTGTAATGCTCATTTAAAATTTTTCACTGCTCATTTCGTAAGCTATGTATGCTCATTTAATATTTGAGCACAAAAGGGATTTTGAATGAGCCTCTAGATTTTTTTATACTCATTCGTAATTTGAGTATGCTCATTTGATATATATTGGTGTAATATTAGACTTAATAAAGGGGGTTTGATACTCAATGAAAATGCCTTAATACTCATTTCATATTAATGCTCTTTTTGTAAGTTACGCATGCTCAGACAGTACTCATATTATGCTCATTTTAAAATGTTCTCTCAATGCATATTTCAAAAGTACCATATTACATTAGATTCACATATTGAAGTTCATAGGATTTTATTATAGATACGTACAATTTAATGAGTTTTTATAAATGAAAAAAATAAGAAAAAGAAAGTGAATTACAATATATGAAGTTGATATCACAATATTCATTGTTCGACTCTTAATACTCCGTAGAATACGTCTGATGCTCATTAAAAGTGTATTAATACTCATCTAATGAAAATCGCGATTTTCACTGAAATTACAAAAATGCCACCGTTTTTTATTTGTGATATTAGCTTTCGTGTAATGACAGAGTGCTCATTATTAGACTATTAGTATTCTTTAAAATTGGAGTACTGCTCATTAACATTACACTAATGTTCATCTAGCAGAAACTGTGATCTTCACTAAATTTACAAAATTGCCACCGGCTGTACGGTTTGCACCGTACAGCCGGATGTACGATATAGGCACTCGTCTACCAGCCCATAGTTTTCAGAAATGCTTCGTCCCTTGA